TGTCCAATTGTGCTGGCCTGGTAGCCTTGTCCGACCTCCCTGCCTACAGGAAGGGGAACCTGTCCATTTACTGGCCAAGCCCGGTCTTTCAACCCTCCATGCTCCGTCCGCTCAACGCCTGCATTGCACCTGGAGGCTCCTTCCATCTGGCCCCTGCCCTGGGTGCGTGTGCACCCCAAAGAGGTTATTACCATGGCATTGCAGGGACTCGCTTCCACATTGCTGCAAGTGCTCGTAATTTCATAATTAGGACCCACAATATAACACAGTCATTAACATGCTTTATACCTCTGCCTTTTCCAAACTGTATTTCTGTTAAAGCGCCAGAAGTAATTAGTTTGGCGTGATGATGGAGGAGGCTCCCGGAGAACAGAGAGCGCCTTCTTTCCCTTTGTCTTTCCCCGTGGCGATGAGGAGGGAATGGCAGCGTCTTTGAGAAAGCAGCTATTGATTCTCTTGCCCCAAAGCATCCCATTGAGCTGGGTTCTGCATTGTTTGCGGATGTTTCTGAAATGAATGCAGACCAGTGTGTCTTTGTGCTTAAGGCACATTCCCAATTATCTGTGCTGACGGAGCAGAGCACTTCCTTCTACTCGTAAAGGATGTTTGTCAAAGTTAAAGAAAACTTTTACTCACCAGGGGCTGGTGGGGGCTTGCCGAGGGCATGGGGAGTTAGTGCGTATTGGGCAGGGGTTTCTGTTTGGGACAGCGAGCAAGTTTGGGAGATGGATGGTGGTGATGGTTGTACAATAATGAATGCACTTACTGCCACTGAGCCACACACTTTAAAATAGCTAAAGCAGCCCGGCCAGTGTGGCTCAGTGGTTGAGCGTTAGCCTATGAACCAGGAGGTCATGGTTCGATTCCCCGTCTGGGCACGTGCGCGGGTTGTGGGCTTGATACCAGTAGGGGGCATGTAGGAGGCAGCTGATCAATGATTCTCATCATTGATGTTTCTATCTCTCTCTTCCTCTCCCTTCTCTCTGAAATCAATAAAAATATATTTTAAAAAATAGTTAAAACGGTAAGTTTTATGTTGTGCATGTTTTACCACAATAAAAATAAGCCCAGTGATGTTTTTAAACTCGAAAGTATCATTATATTCTTGCTAGAAGGAAAGATCGGTTACACAGCCAGTTCAGAGTATGACCCCATTTTTTACTTAAAAAAATCATGGAGAGTAAATAAGAGATTGGAAATAAAGATGTCAAAACAAATAACTCATTGTTTCAGAATTGGGTGATTTCTACTGTCTTCTTTGGGCTTCTCTGTATTTTTCCAACTGTATATTTGACAATAAATGTTTATGTCCTTTGTAATCAGATAAAACATACCCAGCATGGCGAGTGTACTTAATACCACGGAACTGTGCCCTTTAAAGAGGTTACGATGGTAAATTTTGTGTTATGTGTATTTTACCACAATAAGAATACGTTTCAAAGAGAAAAGACAATTTGTACGGAAGACATCCTTTCCCAGCGTTTTCTTGAAGTTGATATTCCCCCAATTGCCACTCTCCCTTCCCCTCCAACCCCCCCCTTTCCCCCCCCCCCACCCCCCACCCCTTCAGCCCCTGGTAACCACACTCTTTTTTTTTTCCCCACATATAAATGAGATCATGCAATATTTGTCATTCTGTGTCTAGCTTATTTTATTTAGCATACTGGATCAGATGGAAGCCTTCTGTAACAAGAGGTTTTCTTTTCTTTTTTTTTTTTTTTAAGAGTTTACTCAGGATTTATTATGATTCAAATTGAGGCCAGGTGAAGCTCACCCTCATATTTCCCACCAGGTACAGATTGCTGAATGCGAGAGTCAGAACACGCTCGCAGGAGAAACAATCACAAATCTTCAGAGGATAAAATGAACTGTTTCCCGGAACACAAAGACACCGCAGCGCCTTGACACTCATGACAAATAAAGATGCATCGTATTTGTGTCGTGTTTTTAACCTTCGAAAGTGGAGCCGAGGCTTCTCTTTATCAGCAATCCTGGGAACGCGCTCTTCCTCCACCGCGGAGAGGCCAGGGCCGCCCAGGAAACAGGGGCGTCGTGGGTGCCAGGGCAGGGCTGTCCCTGGTGTGAAGTCATAGAGAGTCTTGGGGGGCATCTCCCAAAGGCGGGGAGTGCAGGGGAGCGTGGACGGGGCCTGCAGGGACTCTGTTAAAGGGATGTTGTTATCCAGGAGCCAGTGCAGAGCCGAGTTACCCACCCAGGGTGGAGGGAGCCGGGGGATTTGTACATCTGCCGGTCGGGCTCCTCCGGGGCCGTGCCCTCCTCAGGCTGTGCCAGCCTGCCCCTCGCGTGGGCAGCAGGCAGGGCTCTTGGTTAGCGCGCAGGTGCTGACAGCTTCATTGCAGCCATTGAGCTCGGCACTGTGAGAACCGAGGGGCTCTGTGCCCCGATATTGTGTGCCCGTGTGGGGAGGAGGTGTTGGAGGGAGGGCAGAAGGTATGAAACGGTCCTTCTTGGACACAGGAAAGCATCCCAGCTGGGCAATGCCAAACGCCCAGCCACGGGACCTTCCTAACAGGACACAGCTCAGCGGCGGCTTCCTCTGAGCCCTGCGTGGGGCCGCCCTGGGCTGGCGCCTGGGACACAGGCAGACAAGACATCCCTGGCGCCCACGGGGACTCACTGGGGACAGCAGACCTACAGGCAGAGGCTGCGGAGTGAGAAGTGAGGGGTGCAGTGTGGGGCGCCCTATTCAGGAGTGGGGGTGTCGGCGGGGAGGAGTTGAGGCCACATCACCAAGGATGAGAACTGACATCGCAGCTGTGAGCTGTCTCTGAGCCTTAGTCATTTCATCTGTGAAATGGGATGATGACAGGTTTGAAATTCTGCGTGAAGACAAGGGTTGGGTAATTTGACAAGCGTTTGGGCCACACGTCTCCCCTCTGCCAGCAGGCCAGCAGGCTGGGGACAGTGGCAGGGTTTCTAAGAGCCACAGGAGAGTAAACCCCGAGGCCCAGCTCTGGAAAGCAAGGGCTGGGGAAATTGATGGGCAGGAGAGAATTTGGCCGTTATTGCCATTGACTACAGTTGTTTTGAGGATAAAATTCGATCACATAAGTAGAGCTCCGGTTAGCACTGGGAGTGCTCAACACATGTATTGACAACGATGACATTTCTCCCTTCCAGTCTTTAATAATAAGACGGTAGATGTAACAGTAGGTACGAAACAGTGATTTTGAATGGTTGCGGGTGTCTCGTCTTCGTCCCCGCCCCTGTGTGGGGAGGGTGACCCTCTGGGTCTCAGGGCAGAACCTTGGCGGTGGTGGGTGGAGGTGGGGATGGAGGCGAGGTATTCGCAGAGATACCCGGTGCAGGCCCGCAGGAGTTCCTATTATTGGTATAAGATTCATGTCTCCATCTCCTCCCACGCCCCTCCACACACAAAGGCAACCCAGACTTGATTGTTTATACCTTTTTGTTTTATTTGGACCCACATCCCACTTTTCAAAACCCCGGAGGCTGGGAGCTGTTTGCAGGAACTCCCCGGGGCTGTCCTTTCTTCCCGCTGCCTTCCCCACATCTCCCGCCTGGAGGCACCTCCTTCCCTTGTATTTCATCCCCCCCTTCCCCTGTGGTGGCCCCCTGGATGCCTAGGGGGCTGCTCCCAGCAAAGCCTCAGGGACTCCTGGACTCCCCAGGGCCACAGGCCCCTCCAGGGAAGGAGGCAAAGGCAGGAAGTGCTGGGCACCTGTCAGGGCTCTAAATATCCAAGTATCTGCCAGTGGCTCTTCCTCCGTTTGTAAAGGCAGGAGTCCCTCCACCCCGCACCTTCCCAAGGTTTGGGCACCGGGGCTCTGAGCAGCTCTGTGGGCAGCTCCTCTGTGGTCAGACAGCCTGGGAAAGTGCTCCATGCGCTGAGCCTGGGAAGCTCGAACCAGCTGCCAGTCCGTTCTTCACCACCCCCCACCCACCCCCCGCCCACCAAGGGGCATGGAGCCGCAGGGTCTCAAAACCTAGAGCAGCGGTTCTCAACCTGTGGGTCGCGACCCCTTTGGGGGTCGAACGACCCTTTCACAGGAGTCGCCTAAGACCATCGGAAAACACATATATCATTACATACTGTTTTTGTGATTAATCACTATGCTTTAATTGTGTTCAATTTGTAACAATGAAATTGGGGGTCACCACAACATGAGGAACTGTATTAAAGGGTCGAGGCATTAGGAAGGTTGAGAACCACTGCCCTAGAGGATCTAAAATATCGATAACTCGAGCACACCCTAGACCTCCTCAGACCAACTGGGGCCCCTGCAGCTTAAATGTCAGACCCTGGCCTCACGGAGCTGTCTCGGGCAGCCCCCTGCAGAAGACACCGAGACCGACTCTGGAGCAGTCCCTGGGCTGGGTGCTTTACGCACATTCTCTTAGTTTTTATAACATCCACGATGGGCTGGCAGTGGCGAACCCATTCTACAGGTGTAGATAATGAGGGTCAGTGTTTAAGAAGGGCTATTTGAGTTCCAAGTTCAAGGATAGAGTGTGATTGATTGGTGTGGGTGGAGAAGGGACTGGGGACAGCCCAGATGCCAGCAGATGCCAGCTGGGCTCCAGTGCCCCCTGCGAGGGGAGTGGAAAGACACCATGTTGGGAGTAGGCCCGGTTCCAGTGTGCTTTTAAGGCAACTGAGGGTCTTTGAACTTTGCCAAGTTCTTTTGAACTCTCCGGGCCTCAGTTTTCTCACCTGTAAAATGGGATTGTTGTGAGGGTCAGTGCAATGATATGCAGGAAGCATCTCGTTCAGCGCCTGCATATGCAGATCAGGGGCTCCGTCTTATGGCTCCAGGGACAACTCAGGGTGGGGCACCTGGGATGGCCCTCCCAGACAGCTCTCTTTTCTGGCTGGGCATTGCCAAGGGCAGCCCTGTGCCCTGCAGTCCGAGCGGGGGCCCAGGCCCCAGCCCTGCTTTAACAACTCTGCTATTCTGGACACGACCTAGGCTGGGCTTTCTCTTGTAAATATTGATGAAGGCCCAGACAGAGAGGAACAGGAAAACAAGGGACGTTTTATTTATGATGGAAAAAGAAACCAACAGAAAAAAAAATCTACAAGCCCAACGGGGGAGGGGGGAAGGGATCTTAAATAAACCGTGGTGCAGCCAGTGGGTGGAATATTGTGCAACGATGGAAATGATGTTTACCGAGGGTTTGTAATAACACAGGAAAATGCTTATTTTCAAAAGTGAGGTGCCAAAAGGAAGCAGGACCGAATTGTAAATTCAGCGTAATCACACTTAGGCTAGGATCAAGCCCGACCGAAATCACACACAGAAGGGACAGGCTGGAGAGACCCGTGTCGCAGCAGGGGTTCACTGGGGAAATTTTTTCATACTTTTCTCTCTTTTCCAATTTTTCTATAACGGCATGGTTGGCCTAATGTAAAAAGCAACCCAAACTTAAGATTCTTTTTTTTTTTCCCCTGAAGAAGAAAGAACTCTTATTGGGAACGCAGATGGCCCAGGCACAAGCTTTCTTTAACAAACAGGCCACTCTGGGGCTGAGGGCCGCAGGTGGGCAGACCCGGCTACTCACCAAGGTCAGGTGGAAACCCTCGACCCTGAGCCCATGGTGCCATGTGGGCCGCCTGACACCCAGCCACACACTCAGCCGAGGCCGCTGGGATGTCCTGGTGATTATTTGGACTCTCCTCTCTGAATGTGCGAACACGGCTTCTCTCCTGAGAAAGCAGTTTCTACCCATGCAAGGCACCTCTCTTATGTCAGCGGGGCAGGATTCTCTCCGTTAGGTGAGGGGCTGCAGCAGAATAGCTGCGCTCCGGCCCTGTACACCCCATTCACCCCGAGATGGAGCTCCTAGGAGGCGGACCCGCCTCTTCCGCCCACGTGACAAAGGCTCCAGGTGCGAGGCCAGGCTTCCCGGGCCCTGAGCCACCTGGTCTTTGCAGGCCCCCGGATTTGCACTCAGGTCTCTGCTCGGTGTATCTGATCAGGAAGGCCTATCCCACTCGCCTGCTTAGCTGTCTCGGTGGCTCGTATCCGGCATGGGTTCTATTTACTTATGTATCTTTTTCAGAATTGCCCATTCTCCTCCACTACAATGTGAGCTCCTGTCCACAGGAACAGTCCTGGCCTCTCCTTCTGTAGCTGAACCTGACCATCATGCCCCCAGGTGGTCGTTGCGGGCCCCCTGAGCTCTCTCCTCCTACCTCGATGGCCCAGGTCCAGAGAGAGGAGCACACCTGCTCTAGTCGGTAACGAGGCCCAGGGTCAGCTTGAGGGGTCACTGGGGGTCAACTGGCACCTGAATTGTGGTTGTGATAAGGCTGTGCCCCTAAAGTTTGCTAGGGTCCTGGAACCCCCCCTGTCCCCCCAATTCAGACTGGAAGCCATCCCAGGAGATGTGGCTGCCCTCGGCCCTGGAGCACCAGGCCCTAGCTCTATCTCACCCTCGCCCTCTGCAGCCCGCTGGCACCAAAGCATCTGGGAGCCCAGCCACTGACGGAGGTAGGACTGGACTTCACCTTCTGCAGCCAAGCTCCTGGCCGTCTGGCCTCCCAGAAACGGCCCATGGAGCGGTGGGCAGGGGGCGCTCTTTGCCTCCAGCTTTGCAGGAGGAGCCCAGCAGAGGGGCAGCTAGACCCTGGTCTGAGGCACATGGAGGCTGGGCAAGGTCAGGACCGTGGGCAGGAGGGTGCCCTGCGGGGACGGGAAGCTGCGCAGCTCCTTGGGCACAAACCTGGGCGAGATGTTGTCAGCCAGGAAGAGGAGCGTGCGCCGGCGCCCCACGCAGTAGATGAGGCTGCCCACCACGGCGCACTGGAAGGCGTCCGGGTAGGGCGTCCGGTACGTGGCGCACTCGTACCAGAGACGGGCACTGGCGCTGCAGCGGTACACGCTGATGCCCAGGCTGCGGTTGAGATCGAAGCGGTAGAGGAAGCCATCGACCGCCACCATCTCGGCCGTGCGGTCCTTGCCGCCCCCCGCGATGGAAATGATGTTTACCGAGGGTTTGTAATAACACAGGAAAATGCTTATTTTCAAAAGTGAGGTGCCAAAAGGAAGCAGGACCGAATTGTAAATTCAGCGTAATCACACTTAGGCTAGGATCAAGCCCGACCGAAATCACACACAGAAGGGACAGGCTGGAGAGACCCGTGTCGCAGCAGGGGTTCACTGGGGAAATTTTTTCATACTTTTCTCTCTTTTCCAATTTTTCTATAACGGCATGGTTGGCCTAATGTAAAAAGCAACCCAAACTTAAGATTCTTTTTTTTTTTCCCCTGAAGAAGAAAGAACTCTTATTGGGAACGCAGATGGCCCAGGCACAAGCTTTCTTTAACAAACAGGCCACTCTGGGGCTGAGGGCCGCAGGTGGGCAGACCCGGCTACTCACCAAGGTCAGGTGGAAACCCTCGACCCTGAGCCCATGGTGCCATGTGGGCCGCCTGACACCCAGCCACACACTCAGCCGAGGCCGCTGGGATGTCCTGGTGATTATTTGGACTCTCCTCTCTGAATGTGCGAACACGGCTTCTCTCCTGAGAAAGCAGTTTCTACCCATGCAAGGCACCTCTCTTATGTCAGCGGGGCAGGATTCTCTCCGTTAGGTGAGGGGCTGCAGCAGAATAGCTGGGCTCCGGCCCTGTCCACCCCATTCACCCCGAGATGGAGCTCCTAGGAGGCGGACCCGCCTCTCCCGCCCACGTAACAAAGGCTCCAGGTGCGAGGCCAGGCTTCCCGGGCCCTGAGCCACCTGGTCTTTGCAGCCCCCGGATTTGCACTCAGGTCTCTGCTCAGTGTATCTGATCAGAAAGGCCTGCTCACACTATCCCACTCGCCTGCTTAGCTGTCTCGGTGGCTCGTATCCGGCATGGGTTCTATTTACTTATGTATCTTTTTCAGAATTGCCCATTCTCCTCCACTACAATGTGAGCTCCTGTCGGGCAGGCACCTCCAGCACAGGAACAGTCCTGGCCTCTCCTTCTGTAGCTGAACCTGACCATCATGCCCCCAGGTGGTCGTTGCGGGCCCCCTGAGCTCTCTCCTCCTACCTCGATGGCCCAGGTCCAGAGAGAGGAGCACACCTGCTCTAGTCGGTAACGAGGCCCAGGGTCAGCTTGAGGGGTCACTGGGGGTCAACTGGCACCTGAATTGTGGTTGTGATAAGGCTGTGCCCCTAAAGTTTGCTAGGGTCCTGGAACCCCCCCTGTCCCCCCAATTCAGACTGGAAGCCATCCCAGGAGATGTGGCTGCCCTCGGCCCTGGAGCACCAGGCCCTAGCTCTATCTCACCCTCGCCCTCTGCAGCCCGCTGGCACCAAAGCATCTGGGAGCCCAGCCACTGACGGAGGTAGGACTGGACTTCACCTTCTGCAGCCAAGCTCCTGGCCGTCTGGCCTCCCAGAAACGGCCCATGGAGCGGTGGGCAGGGGGCGCTCTTTGCCTCCAGCTTTGCAGGAGGAGCCCAGCAGAGGGGCAGCTAGACCCTGGTCTGAGGCACATGGAGGCTGGGCAAGGTCAGGACCGTGGGCAGGAGGGTGCCCTGCGGGGACGGGAAGCTGCGCAGCTCCTTGGGCACAAACCTGGGCGAGATGTTGTCAGCCAGGAAGAGGAGCGTGCGCCGGCGCCCCACGCAGTAGATGAGGCTGCCCACCACGGCGCACTGGAAGGCGTCCGGGTAGGGCGTCCGGTACGTGGCGCACTCGTACCAGAGACGGGCACTGGCGCTGCAGCGGTACACGCTGATGCCCAGGCTGCGGTTGAGATCGAAGCGGTAGAGGAAGCCATCGACCGCCACCATCTCGGCCGTGCGGTCCTTGCCGCCCC